AAAGAAGAATGTGGCATCAGGATTGGAGGAAGGCTCATTAACAACCTGTGATATGCTGACAACACAACTTTGCTTGCTGAAAGTGAGGACGACTTGAAGCACTTATTAATGAAGATTGAAGAATACAGTCTCCAGTATGAATTATGTTTCAATATAAAGAAAACAAAAATGCTTAAAACTGAACCAATAAGCAGCATCACAATAAATGGAGAAAAAATTGAAGTTGTCAAAGACTTCACATTGCTTGATTCTATAATCAATGCCAATGGAAGCAGCAGTCAGGACATCAGATGATGTATAACACTGGGCAAGTCAGCTGCAAAGGACCTCTTTCAAGTGCTGAGGAGCAAAGATGTCTCCTTGAGGACTAAGGTGTGCCTGACACAAGCCATGATATTTTCAATCACCTCTGTGAGAGCTGGACAATGAATAAAGAAGATTGAAGAAGAATAAATGCTTTTGAGATGCGGTGCTGGCAAAGAATGCTGAAAGTACCATGGACTGCTAAAAGAACCAACAAATCTGTCCTGGAGGAAGTACAGGCAGAATGCTCCTTGGAGGTGAGAATGGCCAGACTTCATCTCACATAACTTTGGTCATTTTGTCAGCATAAGAAGGATGTCATGTTTGGTAAGGTGGACGAAAGAGGGGAAGGCCCTCAACAAGATGGATTGACACAGTAGCTGTGGTGATGGGCTCAAGTGTAGGAGGGATCGTGGAGCTGGCACGGGACTGGGTGGTGTTTCATTCTGCTGTGCACAGGGTCACTATGAGTTGGAGGCAACTCGACGGAACCTAACTACAACAACAACAACTGCAATAGATGAGTTTTAAGATAGGGAAGGGACTGTTTGAAATGGGTCATATGAAACTAATGGAGCTAAAGCATAACTGTGAATACGAACCAGTAAAAATAATAATAACATCAGTATTTGCTGTCCAATTGATTCCAACTCATGTGAGTATGAAGAATTTCTAATTACTCTACCTCAGTGAATACCACAACATACAACTAGACTAATAAGCAACATCATGATAAACTGAGAAAAGATTGAAGTTGTCAATGATTTCATATTACTTGGCTCCATAATCAATGCCCATGAGAGCAGCAGTCAAGAAATAAACTACGTATTGCATTGGGCAAATCTGCTGCAAAAGACCTCTTTAAAGTGTTAGAAAGGAAAGATGTCACTTTGAGGACTAAGGAGCACCTGACCCAAGCCCATGGTATTTTCAATCACCTGCCATGTATGTGGAACCTGGACAATGAATAAAGAAGAATTAAGAAGAATTGAAGCATTTGAATTATGGTGTTGGTGAAGAATATTAAATACATCATGGAATTCCAGAAGAATGAACAAATCTGTCCTGGAAGAAGTATAGTCAGAATGTTCCTTGGAAGTAAGGAGGGCGAGACTTCATCTCACATACTATGGTCTTGTTATAAGGAGAGATCAGGTCCTGGAGAATGATATCATGCTTGGTAAATTGTCAGGTCAAAGGAAACCCTCAACAAGATGGATTGACTCAGTGGCTGCAACAATGGGCTCAAACAGCAATGATTGTGTGGATGATGCAGGTCTGAGTATTGTTTCTTTCTATTGTATACAGGATCACAATGAGTCACACCCAACTTGATAGCACCTAACAACAGCAGTCATTACCAAAGTGTAATTTCAAAGTGTAATTCTCAGATCAGAAGCACCTGCCTCATCTGGAAACTTGTTAGAAATTTAAATTTTTGGAGTCCATCCCCCTAACACCTAATGAATCAGAAATTCTGGGGGTGAAGCCCAGCAGTCTCTGTACGTGGCTAAAGTTGAGTGAAGGTAAAATCAGAACAGTAAACTGCAGCATTTGTTGATCTACTTCCATAGTGATACTGCCTCAGAAACCCAAGGAGGGGTCGCTATGAGTTGGGTCCAACTTGAGTGCACATAACAACAGCAACAACATATTGAGCTCAAACAGGGGCTGGAATTTACATATTCTTCTCTGCATGTACACAGGAGGGACAAATGTGTGTTTACAGAACAAAAGATTGGGCAAATATCAGGAAAGACTAACTCAGGTAACTCTGACACACTGTATCCAGTCAAAAGGGAAAATGCTTTGACAGTGTCTTTCTCAGTGGGCTCTGCCATTGTGAGAAAAAAACACCAAACCCTTCTGCTGGTTCCTCAATAAAGCTCCACGAGAAAAAAGTCTGAGCTGTCAACAATAGTCTCCAGATTTAGGAAAATCCATTCAAAATCCATGAGGAAGAACAATGATAATTGGTTACATCCACAAATGAGTTTGCCATTTAATTTGCCAGAAAATGTACAGTTGCAATTGGGATTGCTATGATCAGCAACAGAGTATTGCTAAAAATGTTGTTAAAAGAAAGAAGTAGTAGTACTAATACTGCTATATACTATACATTTGAACATTGTACAGATCTCATTTCCTAAAATCATGGACAATGATTACACAGAGGATGGACTTGAATATGAAGAAATACTATTGCTTTTTAAAAAAGAATCATAGTCATGTATTCAGAGTCAGTTTGTTATTATGGGCTCACATATGATGTCATAAATTTGACATTCTAAATGTAGAGCTAGACTGAGCAGGCGAAGCAACAGGAAATGGAGCTGGGGAGCAGAAAATCTGCGTAACAACAACAGATATTCAATAGTGAAAGAAATGAGTCAAACATCTTTGAAACAGAAAAGGAAGGTGAGTGAATATTTTAGGAATCTGGGACAGAGTTGAAAAAATACTGATTTTTGGCCAATCATTTACCCCCGGGTATGCTCTGCTACAACCAAATTTCAGATAATAGCTTCATGTAGAGGAAAAGAAAAGGAGGAAAAAAAGGAAATGAAGAATGGAGAATAAAAGACATTAAAGCTTCTACTATAAGTCAATCAAATAAGTAGCATTTATTGAGCTTATCCTCATATGTTAGTGGTAAGAGGTGAAAACACAGTTGCTGTCTTTGAAGAACACACAGCCTGGGAGGAGAGAATACATAAACAAAGTACAATTCAATGTTCAGCAAAAGAATGTACAAAAGACACAGAGAGCACAGGGGGATGTTTAACTCTGGGCACTTGCCTCAGGTCACTCTGAACTGGATTTTGAAGAACATTAAAGAAATGCGAATGTTACAAGGAAATAAGGGTGATACGTAGGGCATTGAAATAACTTGGAAAAACTGGAGGAAATGCAAGTTAAAGATAGCGTACATGATGGAGTGCTTTGTCTATCTAACCAAGACAGTGAAGAGTCTATCCAGGAAAGAAGCATAATTAGATCTACATATTATAAATATTGGGAGCTCTGGTGGCATAGTGCATAAGCATTTGACTGCTAAACAGAAGACTGGCAGTTCAAACCCACCAGCCACTCCTCAGAAGGAAGGTTGGGTAATCTACTTCCATAGTGATACCACCTCGGGGTCTCTATGAGTGGGATCTGACTCCACAGCAGTGCGTTTTAATTATTATTATTATTATTATTATTATTATTGTTATAAATATCAATTTATGGGATGGATGCATCTAAAAGTAGGGAGGGTTTGAGGCCATAAAACCTGTTTAAAAGTCTAAGAAAGTAGGTCCATGACGATCTGAGGATTGGAATAAGGCAATAGTAATGTTGTTAGTTGTTATTTGCCATCGAGTCTGACCTGACTCATAGCGACCCCTCTTTGGGTTTCTGAGGCACACCACAGAAGGTTTCACCACAGAAGTAGATTGCCCAACCTTCCTTCCGAGGAGTGGCTGGTGGGTTTGAACCGCCAGCCTTCTGGTTAGCAGTCAAATGCCTTAGGCACCTCACTACCAGAGCTCCTAAGGCAATAGTAATAGGAATAAAGAAAAGAGACTGAGTTTAAAGGTCTTTTAGACTTTTAGAGTTAGAAGTAACAGGATTTTATGGTGACTAGTATGTGTGGGAGGAGCCCTGATCGCACAGTTTATAAGCACTCAGCTGCCAACTTAACAGTTGGTTGGTACTTCAAACCCACCAGCGGCTCTGCAGGTGAAAGATGTGGCAGTTTGCTTCTGTAAATACTAGTTTTGGAAATCCTATGGGACAGTTCTACTCTGCCCTATAGGGTTGCTATGAGTCAGCATAGACTCAATGCCAATGGGTTAGGAATGAGTTTTTGATGTGTATGTGTGTTGGGGAAGGTGGAAGGATTTTGGGAATTAGTTCAAGGACCGTGAAGCTGTGTCAGCCTCTGCAGTCACAGAATCAATTATTCAGCTAACATTGGTCAGATTTTTCCTAGATGCAAGGCACTGAACAGAAAGCGATGAATAGACTGCCCCAGGACACCTTGGTCTAACCTACAAGTTGAGCTCCATAAACAGATAATTAACACCAATCTTAGGCTACTGAATTAGCATGACACAGTATTAATACCAAAACCAAACTTACTGCCATAAAGTCAGATCCAACTCACAGCAACCCCTCCTTGTGCTATCACTACAGAAGTACATTGTCCAATCTTCCTTCTGAGGAGTGGCTGGTGGGTTTGAACCACCAGACTTCTGGTTTAGCAGTCAAATGCCTTAGGCACTATGCCACCAGAGCTCCCAACAGTATAAATAGTATTCTAATAAGAAACTCCTCTAATTGAAAGTGAAAACGAATATTTGAATAGGTTTCCACAAAATGAGTTGTGGTCATCTTGCCCTCTCCTACACTGACCTCCTTATTAATTTGTTGATATGAAACCTCTTTTTACTCTAAATATTATGAGCAAGTAGATGATGTCTTAGTTATCTAGTGTTGCTATAACAGAATACCTTAAACGGGTGGCTTTAGGAATCAGAAATTTATTTTCTCACAGATTAGGCAGCTAGAAGTCTGAATTTAGGGTGCTGGCTCTAAGGGAAGGCTTTCCCTCTGCCAGCTCTAGGCAAAGTTCCTTGTCATTTCAACTTCTGCTTCCTGGCTCCTGGAGATCTCCATGTGTCTTGGTATCTATCTGACCCCATCTCCACTTCCTTCACTTGCTTGATTAATCTCTTTTATATCTCAAAATACTGAGGCAGTATCACTACAGTATCACTACACTACTATAGACTCAAGAGATGCCCTACAATCCTGTCTAATTAACCTAACAAAGACAACCCATTCCCAAATGGGATTACAACCAGAGGCATAGAGGTTAGGGTTTACAACATATATTTGGGGTACCACAGTTCAATCCATAATAGATGAAAAGCATAGAAGACTCTGGAGGATATATCTGTCAATAAATCTGTACAGAATTAAGGGCCTTGATTTTATAAATCACCTTATTACTGATGAGGTTTAGACCTAAAAAAAAAAAAAGTATAAGGTACAGTTAAGATGATAACAAATGAGAAAAGTTTCAATTATATATGTCCAAACAAAAAGTTCCATAAGTAGTAATCATCAGAGGAATGGAAAAAGGAAAAAAAAAAAAATTACTCTATGTGAGCAATTTCACATTTAAATTCAAACTGTACAAAATTCTCCTATAAAATAATAGCATTTCCCATTTTATCATGTTTTAAATGATAAATGTTTCATGTCTCAAATCTATAAATGAACAAATATCTGTATTTTTAAAATGTGTTCTATAGTTTCCTAATATCTGTTCTCTTCATTCATGTTTGTTAGAACAGGTGGAAATAGTATAAATACATATATATCTTATATATATAGTGACTCAAACATACCAACAACCATGATGATGGCACAAGACCAGGTAACGTAACATTTTATTATAAATAAGGTCATCATGAGTTGAAGCCAACTCAATAGCATCTAACAATAACTGTATATATGTGTGTGTGTGCGTATATGTATATGTGTGTGTACACACACACACACACATATATATACACACATACATATATTTGTTGTTGCTGTTATGTGCCGTTGAGTCAGACATGACTCTCAGCGACCCCCCCTTGGGTTTCCGAGGCAGTATTACTACAGAAGTAGGTTGCCCAACCTTCCTTCTGAGGAGTGGCTGGTGGGTTTGAACCGCCACCCTTCTGGTTAGCAGTCAAGTTAGGCACTACACTACCAGAGCTCCTATATATACATAGTAACCTTGTGGGACAGAATAGAATTTTCCCTGAGGGTTTTCTAGGGTGAAATGTTTACAGGAACAGATTACCAAGTCTTTTTTCCTGTGGATCAGCTGGTGGGCTGGAACCATTAACCTTTTAGTTAGCAGCTGAGCTGACTGCTTTAACCACTGTATCACCAGGGTTTTCTCTCTCTCTCTCTATCTATGTATATATGGCTCTACACACAGAGAGACATACACACACATGCACATACATACATACATACATATGTGTGTGTTGTTGTTGTTGTTATGTGCCGTCGAGTCGGCCCCGACTCATAGAGACCCCTCCTTGGGTTTCCGAGGCAGTAGATTGCCCCATCTTCCTTATGAGGAGTGGTTGGTGGGTTTGAACCTCCAGCCTTCTGGTTAGCAGTCAAGTGCCTTAGGCACTATGCTACCAGAGCTCCCTATATGTGTGTAGGTATATTAGTATATATTAATATTGAGATATTGACAAATTTGTTTATTTGTGTACTGTAAAATCCAAAGTTTCTAATGCCTCTAATATGTTAAAATAAATAAACATTCTTTGTTTCCATATTAAGAATGAGGCTGGTATGAGGCACTCAAAAGAAAGTCTAGAAGCAGAGAAAAGAAGGGATTCTGAGAAACCGGGAGTTCGTGTGACAACCCAGGTGAGCTAATCTCTGTGGGATTGGTGAGAAAATTAGAAGACTGAAAGCATGATGAAAAAAAAAAAAAAAAAAAACAGAAAGCAAAACAATGCAGTGGGTTGAAAGTTTTGGGGGAAGGAGACTGAAGTGCTGAAGTCTGTATTAAGGGATACTTAGGAGCTCTGGTAGCATAGTGGCTAAAGCACTTGACTGCTAACCAGAAAGCTGGCAGTTCAAACCCACCAGCCACTCCTCGGAGGGAAGGTTGGGCAATCCTACTTCCTTAGTGATACTGCCTCGGAAACCCAAGGAGGGGTCGCTATGAGTCGGGGCCGACTCGACGGCAAACAGGAACAACAAAACAACAACATATGTCCTCGTGGAGAGGTTAAGGAAAACTAAGAGAAGCTGGCCCCTGCCTTTCCCTCCAGTCCACATTCCCCATGTTCATACAGAATATCTGGCATAGAAATATAGCTGTTCCATCTGCTCAGAGGAGCCCTGGTAGCGCAATGGTTAAGCGCTCAGCTGCCAACCAAAACGTTGGCAGTTCAAACCCACCAGCTGCTCCGTGGGAGAAAGATGTGGCCGTCTGCTTCTGTAAAGATTACAGCCTTGGAAACTCTATGGGGTGGTTCAACTCTGTCCTGTAGGGTCGCTATGAATCGGAATCGACTGGACGGCAACGTTTTTTTGTGGTTTTTCTTTCTTTTTTTTTTTTTTTTTGTATCTGCTCAGCCTATGGGAACAGACAGGTCTTTGTTCAAATCAGGGAGGGAAGGGGAGTCTGGCCATCGCATTGACCATTTTCTGCACAATCTTTCAGATGAGGCGTGCATTCTATCCGAATCACTCGCTGAGATGTTGCTTCATGCGAGGTCACTCATCGTGTAGACGCTGCTTTTGTGCAGCTGAGGGAACGGGAACAGTACTTCTTGGCCCCTGCCGCACAATACGTATTTATATTCACATGTGCCTGTTGTGGGAGCAGGGCCATCAGATCACCACGATCAGGGTGAGCAGAGATCCTATGACTAATTTTGGAGGGGAGCCACAGGCAATCTGGGTGAGGGGAAGGATATGGGGAATAAAAACTATTCCATATGCCTCTCCCATGATCTCCTCCATCCTTGTACCTCTTGAAAGGAATGCTAGTGGGCTCTATTTCCTTTTATGAAACACTCTTGGAGCCTGGATGCAGCCTTGTTTATCAACCAAAACCAGAACACCAAACCAGTTGCCACCAAGTCAGTTCTGATGCAGGGTGACCCGGTGTGTGCAGAGTAGAAATGTTCCTTAGGGTTTTTCAAGGCCTTTCAGAAGTTGATCACCATTTCTTTCCTCTGAAGTGCCTCTGGGTGGGTTCAAACCACCAATTTCTTGGTTAGTAGTTGAGTACTTAACCATTTGTGCCACTCAGGGGCTCCTATTTGTATACCAACTGCCTTCATATGTGTAGTCTTGTAAAAAAAATGATAGGTATATCATTTTAGCATCTGTGAACAGACTTATTCTTAAGGAAAGGAATTGGAAGAAGGGAGGAAATGGACAACACTGTTAAGTTTTAAATAAGAGGAATCAACAGTGAAAAGACACAAGAGTACCAGATTGTTCCTTAGTTTGGGGTATTCCTTCTGTTGGGTCCCCATTGCATTTGCCACACAGATGTTAGGACTGGGCCAAAGTTAGAATAGCACACATCATCAAGGTTAAATAAAGGGTCATGGAGGGCAAAAATCCTCTCATTGGGCCCTGTCATTTTTAGCCAATAGTTATTCTGTAGGCACATTCGTGACAGGAATGGTACACCTCTAGGTCTCTTCTCTCCTTGACAGGGATCACAAGAATTATCAAAGGCAGACTCTCGGGGATATCTAGTGCGAAATCAATGGTCCCGGACATCACGGAGCCCATCCACCAGGGCTCAATCCATAGATGAACCCAGAAGCAGGAATGCCAGTCTTAAGGTAGATATGGAGATGAAAAGGAAAGAGTAGTTGATAAAATAAGTATTAACATTTATTGATGCTTTATATTGACAAGCCCTGTTCTACAAACATGTTTAAGTTAATTTACCCCTCACAAGGCATCCATCATCACCATTTTACAGCTGAGAAAAATGAAGCACAGAGTAGCTCACCTAAAGTTACACATTCATAAGTGGTACAGCTAATATTAAAACTAGTGTGTCTAAGTCCAGAGGCTACACAGTTAATCATTATACAACATGGTCTTTCAATAATGAATAAAGAAAACTGCAGAAGAATTGATGGATTTTAATGTGGTGTGGATGAAGATTATTGAATGTACCATCAACTGCTAGAAGAATAAACAAACCTGTCTTGGAGGAAGTAAAGAATATGCCTTAAAAGCAAAAATGGCTAGACTACCTCTCATGTGTTGGTCATGTTGTCAGAAGGGACCAATCCCTGGAGAAGCCCATCGTGATTGATAGACTGGAGGGTCAGTGAAAAAGAGGAAGAACCTTAAGGAGATGGACTGACACAGTGGCTACAATGATAGGCTCAAGCATAGCAACAATTATGAGGATGGCACAGGACTGGGAAGTGTTTCTTTCAGTTGTACCTAGCGTCTCTATGAGTCAGAACTGATTCAATAGTCACCTAATAACAACATGGTCTCTCAGTGATTCTTTTATTCACTCAATAAATATTGATTGAGTACCTGAGACTCTCAGAGAGAGGAGGGGATAGAAATGTCACTGTAAGGGATGAATTGTTGAAGTGTATTAGATTGTGTGACACTTTAAGTTCTTAATTAGATCTGGCCACATGAGCCAAAAAGTTACTTTTGAGATTAAGTTTTTGGATGTATAAGAAGTAATGCAAAGCCATCCACTGAGAAACCACATACCCTTTCCTCATCCATCTGCCCTTTAACTCTCTGCCAGGTTTGCCTCAATAATCTAACCAAAAATGTGACTTTCAAGTCACATGTGAAGCAATCATAGAAACTGAAATATAGATGCTCATCTACCTTAGTAAGGGAGTCCCTTTTCTAGAAAAGATCCTTTCCATTTAGGAAGATGATTCTCTTCAGTTGATCTCCCACTGGCACATGAAGCCCTGAAGGCAAAGGGAGACACTGTCTTCTCCAGACTGATCATTGGATGATTTTTTGGCAAATAAGAAGAGAGATGTTGTTGTTGTTGTTGTTGTTGTTAGGTGCCTTCGAGTGGTTTCTGACTCATACCAACCCCATGCACAGCAGAACGAAACACCGCTCGATTCCACGCCAGCTCCATGATCCCTGCTATACTTGAGCCCATCATCACAGCCACTGTGTCAATCCATCTCATTGAAGGCCTCCCCGTCTTTCGTTGACCCTCCACCCTACCAAGCATGACATCCTTCTCCAAGGAATGGTCCCTTCTGACAACATGACCAAAATAGGTGAGAGGAAGTCTGTCCATTCTCGCTTCCAAGGAGCATTCTGGCTGCACTTCCTCCAGGACAAATCTGTTACTTCTTTTAGCAGTCCATGGTACTTTCAGCATTCTTCTCCAGCACCACAACTCAAAACCATCAACTCTTCTTCGGTCTTCCTTATTCATTGCCCAGCTCTCACATGTATACGGGTGATTGGAAATATCATGGCTTCTGTCAGGCACACCTTAGTCCTCAAGGAGATATCCTTGCTCCTCAGCATGTGAAACAGTTCCTTCGCGGTTGACCTTCCCATTGCTACACGCCATCTAATGTCCTGACTGCTCCTTCCATTGGCATCAAATGTAGAACAAAGCGAAGTGAATTCTTTGACAACCTCAATGTTCTCTCCATTTATTGTGATGCTGCTCATTGGGCCAGTTGTGAGGATTTTTGTTTTCTTTATATTGAGACTGAATCCATACTGCAGACTGTATTCTTCATCCCTCATCAGTAAGTGCCTCAAGTCATCCTCACTTTCAGCAAGCAAAGTTGTATCGTCTGCGTATCTCAGGTTGTTAATGATCCTTCCTCCAATCCTGATGCCATGTTTTTCTTCATATAGTCTAGTTTCTCACATTATTTGCTCAGCACACAGATTGAGTAAGTGTGGGGAAAGGATACAACCCTGACGCACTCCCTTCTTGATTTTAAACCATGTAGTTTTAAACCATGTTGTGCTCTGTTCAAAACACAGCCTCCTGGTCAAGTTACAGGTTCCTCATGAGTACAATAAAGTGTTCGGGAATTCCCATTCTTCTCAATGTTATCAATAATTTGTCATGGTCCACACAGTCAAATACCTTTGCATAGTCAATACAACACAAGTTAACATCTTTCTGGTATTCTTTGCATAGTAGATCATATGGTTGTCTGATTCAAAATGGCCAAAACCAGTCCATTTCAGCTCACTAATGCTGAGGATATCAATCTTTATGTGTTCCATTTCATTTGTGACAACTTCCAATTTTCCTACATTCATACTTTGTACATTCAATGTTCTGATGATCAATGGATGTCTGCAGCTGTTTCTCTTCAATTTGAGTGGTGTCACATCAGCTAATGGAGGTTTAGAAAGCTATACCTTATCCATATGAGTAAGGCTGGGTTTACTCAGATGATGCAGCTTTTTCCCAGTCCTATTTTGAGAGCTTTCTAACCTAACCAGACTATTCATAAAGTTGAGCAATAATGTATCAAACAGTGTTTCTTTGCTATTCATAAGATTTTACCTGGCCAATTCTTTGAGAAGTGGACAGCCTCTTCCTTCTTCCTAGTCTGTCTCAGCCTGTAAGCTAGGCTGATACCTGTGCACCATGTGCATCCCACTGGGTTTGAAACACCAGTGGCTCAGCCTCAAAACTCACATCAACACGTCACCATGGTAGGACAAACCGACAGACAAGTTTGTCTCCCATGAATAGAGATACCCTGAGTTTTGTGCAGAATCTTCTGGTGGAAACATCTATAGCAATTTCCTCATCCACTTAACCACTTACTTGGAGGCAGTAGCAGAGAAAGGCCCACTACTCAAGCTCTCTACCCTATCTGGAAGGCTCTAACTGAGCAGGTATATGGGAGGCAAGGGACAGAACTTTGCAAACTATGTGATAGCTGCCTAAGGACAAAAAAAAAGGACCTGTATCTCACCTACAAACATGTGAGGTGCTGATGGAGAAGTTGTTGTTACGTGCTGTTGAGTCACTTCCAACTCACAGAGACCCAATACACAACAGAATGATACACTGTTCAGTCTTGTGCTAGCCTCACAATCCTTGCTACACCTCAGCCCATCGTTGCAGCCACTGTGTCAATCCATCTTGTTGAAGGTTCTCCTTTTTCATTGACCCTCCATTTTAGTAAGCATGATATCCTTCTCCAAGGAATGGCCCCTTCTGACCACATGAACCAAGTAGGTGAGATGAAGTCTGGCGATTCTCACTTCTAAGGTGCACTCTGGCTTCACTTCTTCTAGAAAAGATTTGTTAGTTCTTTGGGCAGTCCATGGTACTTTTAATATTTTTTGCCAACACCACAACTCAAAAGCATCAACTCTTCTTTGGTCTTCCTTATTCATTTTCCTGCTTTCACAGGCATATGAGGTGACTAAAAATACCATGGCTTGGGTTAGACCCACCTTAGTTTTCAAATAGATATCTTTGCTCTTCAGCACTTTAAAGAAGTTTATTGCAGCAGAATTGCCCAGTGCAATATGTTGTCTGATGTCTTGACTGCTGCTTCCATTGGTGTTGTTTGTGGAACCAAGTAATATGAAATCTTTGACGACTTCAATCTTTTCTCCATTTATCATGATTTTGTTTATTGGTCCAGGTGTGGGGATTTTTTTTTTACTTTATGTTGAGATGTAATCCATACTGAAGACTGTAGTCTTTAATCTTCATCAGTAAGTGCTTCAAGTCATCTTCATATTTTGCAAGAAAAGTTGTGTCATCTGCATATCACAGGTTGTTAATGAGTCTTCCTCCAATCCTGATGCCACATTCTTCTTCATATAGTCCAGCTTCTCACATTATTTCCTTACAGTACATATTGAATAAGTACGATGAAAAAATACAACGCTGACACCCTCACTTCCTGATTTTAAACCATACAGTATCCCCTTGTTCTGTTTGAAGGAGAGAATCCTGGTCTATGTACAGGTTCTTCATGAGCACAAATAAGTGTTCTGAAATGCCCATTCTTCTCAATGTTATCCATAATTTGTTATGATCCACACAATCAAATGCTTTTGCATAGTTAATAAAACATAAGTAAACAACTTTCCCGTACTCTTCCCTTTCAGCCAAGATCCGTATGATATCACCAATGATAACACTCATTTCATATCCTCTTCTGAATCCAGCTGGCATTTCTGGAAGTTCCCTGTCAATATACTGCTACAACCACTTTTGAATCATCTTCAGTAAAATTTTACTTGTGTGTGGTATTAATGATATTGTTTGATAATTTCCACATTCTTTGGGATCACCTTTCTTTGGAATGTGTCTAAATATGGATCTTTTCCACTCAGTTGTCGAGGTAGCCATCTTCCAAATTTCTTGGCACAGACGAGTGAGCCTGCAGTGTGGCATCTGTTTGTTGAAACATCTCAATGGGTATTCCATCATTTCCTGGACCCTTGTTCTTCACCAATTTCTTAAGTGCAGCTTCAACTTCTTCCTTCAATACTACTGGTTCTTGATCATATGCCATCTCCTGAAATGCATGAACATCAACCAATTCTTTTTGGTACAGTAACTCTGTGTATTTCTTCCATCTTCTTTTGATGTTTCCTGCATCATTCAGTATTCTGCCTATAGAATTTTTCAATATCCCAAGTCAAACCTTGAATTTTTTCTTCAGTTTTTTCAGCTTGAGAAATGCCAAGCGTGTTCTTCCCTTTTGTTTTTAACTCCAGGTTTTGCATATTTCATTATAATAATTGGCTTTGTCTTCTTGAGCTATTCTTTGAAACTTTCCTTCTGTTCAGCTTTTATCTTGTCATTTCTTCTATTTGCTTTAGCTACTCTCCATCCATTCAAAGGCAAGTTTTAGAATCTCTTCTGACATTCATTTTGGTCTTTTCTTCTTTTCCTGTCTTTTTAAAGATCTTTTGCTTTTTTCATGGATGATGTTTTTGATGTCATGCCACAAATCATCTAGTTTTCAGTCATTGTTTTTCAAGGATCAAATCTATCCTTTAGATGGTCTCTAAATTCAGGATGGATATAATCAAGGTCAGATTTTGGCTCTTGTGCACTTGTTTTAATTGTCTCCAGCTTTTTGAACTTGCATATGAGCTATGGTAACATAGTGCCTAAGGTACTTGACTGCTAACCAGAAGGCTGGCGGTTCAAACCCACCAGCCACTCCTCAGAAGGAAGGTTGAGCAATCTACTTCCATGGTGATACCACCTCAGAAACCCAAGGAGGTGTCGCTATGAGTCATGTCCAATTCGATGGCACCTAACAACAATGAGGAGTTGATAGTCTGTTCTACACTCAGCTCCTGGCTTTGTTTGGCTAAAGATATGCTTCTTTCCACAGATGGAATTGATCTGATTCCTGTGTATTCCATCTGACAAAGTCCATGTGTATAGTCACCATTTATGTTGTTGAAAAAAAAGATATTTGCAATGAATAAGTTGTTGGTCTTGGAAAATTCTATCACATGATTCTCCAGCATTACTTCTATCACCAAGGCCATATTTTCCAGCTACTGGTGATTCTTTGAATTTTTGCATTCCAATCACCAGCAATAATGGACACATCTTGATTGCATGTTGGTTAATTTCAGACTGCAGAAGTTGGTAAAAATCTTCAATTTTCTCCTATTTGGCTTTGGTGGTTGGTGCATAAATTTGAATAATAGTAGTATTAACTGGTCTTCCTTGTAGGCATATGGATATTATCCTATCACTGACAGCATTCATTGTACATCAGGATAGATCTTAAAACATTCTTTGTGATGATAAATGCCATGCCATTCCTCCTGAATTTTTCATTCCCAGTATAGTAAGTCATATGGTTTTCTGATTGAAAATGGTCAAAACCAGTCCATTTTAGCTCAATAATGCCTAGGATATTGATCTTTATGCATTTCAGTTCATTTTTTACATCTTTCAATTTTCCTGGATTCATAACTCATACATTCCATATTCCGATTATTTATGAGTGTTTGCAGCTGTTTCTTCTCATTTTGAGTTGTGCCACATCAGCATATGGAGGTGCTGAAAGCTTTACTCCATCCACATCACTAAGGTCAACTCTACTCTGAGGAGGCAGCTCTTCCCCAATCGTATTTTGAGTGCCTTCTGACCTGAGACACTCATCCTTCAGCAGTGTATCGTACAATGTTTAAGGGCTATTCATAAAGTTTTCCAGTAATGTATCGGACAGCATTTCACTGCTATTCATAAGGTTTTAACTGGCCAATTCTTTGAGAAGCAGACGGCCACTTCCTTCTTCTGAGTCTTAGTCTGGAAGCTCCACTGAAACCTGTCCACCAGGGGTGCTCCTACTGGCATTTGAAATATCGGTGGCATAGCCTCCAGCCTCATAGCAACACACAAGCCACCACAGTAGGACAAACTGACAGATAAGTGGTAGGATGGAGGAATTGGGGGAAACAAAAGCAGACTATGCCTCTTGTCCATTTAGTGCTTGGAGCACTAAAATACCTCAGCCACCTTAAACACAACTTAAAGAGAGAAAAAACAGGATTTTTCTAGAGCCTGGGTATAACAGGGTGCCAGATGGGAAGGGGACAAGTCTGGATCTGGAGACCTTGACTGGATGTGGGTCAGGGACCCTGGGTGGGCCTTGAACCCAGACACTTTTTGTCTTGATTTAGCTCCCTAACAGCTCCAACACCTCCAGGACTCCATCTACCTCCCCTAGCCAGCCTGAGTCGCCAAAGCAGCTGTCTGCACAGCCTTCGCCTTCCACACAAGCTAAACCACACATGCCACCTGACTCACGACCTCCCACACCTCCAGAGCCGGAGCCAAGTTCCAGGCGCAACACCAAAATGCATGAGAATCCAGAAGCCTGGGCTCATGGCATCATCCGGGAAATGCGGGAAGCCCGGGAAACTCAGCAGCGGGACTACCCACGCACGCCCCCCACCGAATGGAGGACCTACTCTCAGCGCAAGGGGATCTACAACATTTCTGCCCAGCAAGACCGCGACTGTTTGTCTGAAATGCAGCAGCAGCAGCAGCAGCAGCATCAGGATGAGGATGAGGATGAGGCTTACTGGGCATCCTTGAAGACACTGTACGATAAGACCCCCAGCTGCTCTCGTCCCCGGCCGGTGAGCAAGGCCCCCTGATGCCCCTCCTCACAACTTTGCAGCCCAAACTTTTCTGTTCCGCATTGTACATGGAGGCTAGTTCCAGCCTCCTGCAGCTATCCTTCAGCCCTACCCCCAAACCTGCCTCCCTGAAGCCTCTGGTAGTCTAAGCCCTTTACAGCCTCCACAGGTCCAGCTATCCAAGCAGGGACTCAGTTGTTTTCTCCACAACCTGCCCTAGCATGAACTCATATCCTTGATCCCTTCCTGACTGATCTCCTGTTGGCGCCCCTCTCTGCAGCCCAAACCCAAGCATGCCATCACCATTGCTGTCTCATCCCGGGCACTTTTCAACATGGTGGACGGCAGGAAAATCTACGAGGAAGAGGGCTTGGAAAAGTATATGGAATATCAGCTCAACAATGAGAACGTCATCTTGACCCCAGGGCCCGCATTCCGTTTTGTTAAGGTAATCTGCAAGACAGTTTTTTTGGCCATTTGGGAGGCTGGATGGTTCAGGAAGGACCATAGGCAAACTCTTAGTGGCTTATTCAGTTTCCTTTATAATTCATAGCCCACCCTTGTCATTCTTGTCCCTTTCCAGTTGACTCCAGTTTTGCTTTCAAAGTGGCTAGACTGTTGAGGAAGGGACCCCAGCCGCCAGCCCTAGATTTGAGATGTGGGACTTCCCTGAATGGAGTTGAAATCATGGGCCTGCAACAGAAGCTTCTTTTCCCACCCTAAAAGGAGTGATGAGAAGTAGTAATGAGTTTAGTATCGAGGAATAGAAATACATCACCTCATTAAAATGAGATGAAATTCACTTTTAGCTGCTCTGACCCAAAATACAGCATATTGAGACATCTAAGATACTCCGAAGATACTCCTGGGAGCTCTGGTAGCATAGTGGCTAAAGCACTTGACTGCTAACCAGAAGGCTGGCGGTTCAAACCCACCAGCCACTCCTCGGAAGGAAGGTTGGGCAATCCTACTTCCGTAGTGATACTGCCTCGGAAACCCAAGGAGGGGTCGCTATGAGTCGGGGCCGACTCGACGGCACATAACAACAACAACAACAAGATACTCCTGGCACTTAGAGGCATGACTTTTATATACAAAGTAAGTTTCTCTGAATTTATACAGAAGTGTATAGCAGTTATAACTCTGATCCCACGTATAACACATATCAGTATTGCACAGTAACTCCATAACTATGCAAAAACACCACCTCTACAAGTTGCAGATATAGGGCATACTGGAAGCATGGGAGGGAACCATAGACCTAGTCTACAAATCCATACTTAAAAACGCCTAGCCTTGTCCTTTGCTCTTCTAATTCCCCAGAGATAAACACTAGTGAACCAAATATTATAGCAATTTTCCACAAACATTATCCATTTATTCAGTTGATACTAACTGAGGTCCTATATCTGAGAAGCTGAAAGTACAGAAATGAATGGCATAACTCTGCTTTCAAGGAGCCATAATCTTTTAGTGAAGTCTTCAGAACTTGAATTTGATGCTAATGAGATCATTCTTCTCCAGTCTCTCAATGTCCACCTTGCCTGCCTCCCTTTACACGTAGTCATGTTTTTAACCTGCAGGCGCTGCAGCATGTCAATGCTAGACTCCGTGAGCTGTATCCTGATGAACAGGACTTATTTGATATTGTACTGATGACTAATAACCATGCCCAAGTGGGAGTGCGGCTTATAAACAGCGTCAATCACTATGGTAAGTAAAATAAATACCATGTGGAAGAATTGCTTGCTGCTCTGGAAGAGAGAAGCCATATTATTTTGCTAACTGTGGCCTCACTAATGTAGTGTCTTTGATACTGACACCCCCTTCTGCGTGAGGAATGTTTATTTGCCTATGTCAGAACAAGAGAGGCCATGTTCATTTTTAACTCCAGCACAGAGTTGGGCTCAAAGCTCTGGACTTAACTTGTCAAGTGTGAATTTCAAAGTCTTAATCCTAGGTCCTGCAATATATTTCTCTGTTTTATGTTTTTCACTTCTGAACTTGACTTCAAGGAGCTGTCAACCCAAAGGCTTTCTCTCTGTGATCAAACTTCTTGCTCACCACAGATAAATGTTAAAGGTTTAAAGTTTTCACCTCTCCTTCCACTCTTACAATTTGGTTTTCCTCATCTGCTGTCTCTCCTCACACGTCAAATCCACACTTATAAGCAGCAAAATTGTCTTTATTATTTTATATGAAAAAGGTTTTTTGTCTCTCTTTAGGATTTCCATCAGCTGTGTTGGGGATGCTAAGAGAAGCACCCTATTTTATTACCTATTATGGAATTACCTAACTTCTTATTTGGGGGCTTTTAGTTTATTTTCTAAGTAACATACTCAATCTTTAGGACACAAGTAAAAATTAGGCCATTTTGTTCTCCAATACCTATTTATAGATAATCAGCACATATTCCAAGCTATGAGATCTATATGTTGTTAAGTGCCCTTGAGTTGATTCTGACTCATAACAACCCTTTGAAGAACAGAACAAAACAATGCCCAGTCTTGCCCAGTCATCACAATTGTAATTTTTTAGCACAGTGTCGCAGCCACTGTGCCACTCTATCTCTTCAGGATCTTCCTCTTTCTCAGTGACCCTCTAATTCACCAGGCATGACATCCTTCTCTAGGAACTGGTCCCTCTTGATAACAAGTCCAAAGTATGTAAGATGAAGTGTTGCCATCCTTGTTTCTAAGGAGCATTCTGGCTGTACTTCTTCCAAGACAAATTTATTTGTTCTGGCACTCAATATTCTTCACCAAGACCACAATTCAAAGACATCAATTTTTCTGCAGTATTCCTTATTCATTGTTCAGCTTTCACATACACATAAGGTGATTGAAAATACCATGTGTACCTTAGTCCTCAAAGTGACATCTATGCTTTTTGACACTTTAAAGACATCTTTTGCAGCAGATTTTCCCAAGGCAATATGTCATTTGATTTCTTGACTGCTGTTCCATTGGCAGTAATTGTGGATTCTAGGAAAATGAAATCCCTGACAACTTCAGTCTTTTCTCCATTTATCATGATAGTTGTTGCTTATTGGACCAAATGTGAGGATTTTTGTTTCCCTTTATACTGAAGTATAATCTACAGTGACAGCTATAGTCTTTGATATCATCAGTAACTGCTTCAAGTCCTCATGACTTTCAGCAAGCAAAGCTGGGCCATCTGCATATCACAAGTTGTTAATGAAACTTTCTCCCATCTTGATGCCATGTTCTTTTCATATAGTTCAGCTTCTCAGATTATTTGCTCCGCATGCAAATTGAATAAATATGGTGAATGGATACAACCCTGACTCACTCCCTTCCTGATTTTAAACCATGCAATATCCCCTTGTTCTGTTCGGACTACTGCTCTTGGTCTATGTACAGGTTCCTCATGAGCACAGGTAAGTGTTCTGGAATACCTATTCTTTGCAGTGTTATCCATAAATTGTTATGATCCACACAATTGGATACCTTTGTATAGTCAATAAAACAACAACAACAAAGAAAGTCTTTATAGTATTCTCTGTTTTAGGCCAAGATCCATCTGACATCAGCAATGATAACCTTAGTTCCATGTCCCCTTCTGAATCTGGACTGAATTTCTGGCTGTTTCCTGTTGCTGTACTGCTACAACTGTTTCTGATTTATTTTCAGCTTAATTTTACTTGTATATGCTATTAGTGATATTGTTTGATCATTTCTGATTACTCTAATTATTTAAATGCATTGGTGTTTCAGTGGTTGAATCTATGTGGAAAGCCCCAGTTGTATGCCTGGCCAGTGCCCCACTACTCAACAGACACCCTGCTAAATAGGTTTCAACAGAGATTTCAGACTAAAACAAACTAGGAAGAAAGGCTTGGGCTGACACAAAGGTAGCTAACATCAATGGTAACAAGTATAAATTTCATATCTGACTGATACAAATTTTAAAATCAAATTTTGCTCTTTAAAAATGCAGTCTTCATAATTTACAAAGTGAAAAGAGAGAATGCATATCAAGCGCTTAGAATGGGAGCTATTTTATTTTTTAATTGTTATTTGGGTGAAAATTTACAGGGCAAATTCATTTTCCATACAACTGCTCATACACCTTTTGTTCCAAGGAGCTATTATCTCTCAAGGTGTCTTTGGTCTATCTCTTCCTCACCACAAGGTCCCTGGGTGGCACAAAAGGTTTGTGCTCAACTACTAACTGAGAGATTGGTGGGTCAAACCCACCTAGTGGCACCACGGAAGAGAAGCCTGGCAATTTGCTTCCAAGAACATTATAGCCAAGCAGAGCCTATGGAGCTCAGTTCTACTCTATAAACTATGGTGTCACTATGAGTCAGAATCAACTCTACGTCAACAGGTTTATACCTCACCACACTGAGTGCATACAGGCTGGTAGCATGAGGTATTATAATTATCTACCTAATTCTACTGATGAACTGATTAAATTCAGTCCCCTCATACAGCCTTATTCATGGAATAACAATGTCTCACCCAAAAAAGTTAGTCCCTTCCTTTTTCTGGGTGTTGAGGGCAATTTGTATCTTCTCTGCTGCCATCTTGTTATACTTTATTATAATTATCTATTTACCTGCCTACCTCTTTAGCAAACTGATCTCCTGGAGAAGAAGGATGGTGTTTCGATCATTTCTGAAGTCCTAGTATCACTCAATAAGTTCTGGATCATTAAATTATCTGTCAGTATTATTATTTGGCTTACTTGAAAAAGTGAGACTTTTTTTAATAACAAAACAGACACTTCCACCTCTACTGCTGATGGACCCTTATCTGTTGGTATATATAGATAATAAACAACTGACAATCAGTATTCTGCTTTATATCATGTGTTCCTGTTCAATTTATCATATATCTAAAATCGCTTTGAATAGTTACATAATATTTTATTATATGCATCATGTTTTACTTTATTCTCACATTGTTGGATCATGTTTTGCTTTAATACATAACCCTACACTGAGACCATTCTACATAGATCTTTACTATAGTTTCAGATTATTCCCTTACATTAAGTTCCTAAAAATTGAATACTAGGTCAAAAAGTATAAACCTATTCAAAATTCTTGGTACAGAAGGTCAAACTACTTTGTAGACAGCTTATATAAATTTGTACTTTCATCCATAGTGTATGTGGGTGCCTGTTTTGCAAACCTTTCACCAACATTCAGTGTTTTTTAAAATTATTATTGATTTGAAAGACATTTACTGACATAATATTTTTCATTTTGCTAATAACTGCATTTAAAATTTCAAATCAGGAAAGGGTGATCATATTAGACCTTTTGTTACTGATTTCAGAAAATTATTGAAATCCTAACACTACTTTTTATTACAATTGCATTGTTACTGAAGAAATGCAAAAATGGTACTTAAAATAGAGCCACAACTTAACTGCCCTTTAAAGGAGTGAGGAGGCTACAGTTCAAGAAAAAGAGCACTATTGTAGTCTAAACAAGAGTCAAACACTTGAGTTCAAGTCTATGCAGTGCATGTAAACCATGGGCTCAGATAAGCCATTAGTTGTCAGTTTCCTTTTCAGCAATGGAAATAATAATACCTACCATACAGTTTTTGTGATTGTGAATTGGTGTAGTCTATGTGGCTACACTTCATGAATTATAATGTACCAAACACATCTTCTCTTATGTAGAACAGTCAATTAATTTTTTCAATAGTAATTTTATGAAGGTAATTCTGAAACCTTAATAGGTATTTAGTTATTCCTAAAGTAACTATCATTGGCAGCAGGGATTTACAGTATTTTGTGATAACAAAATCTCTCTTGCCTCATAATAGGCTTACTAATTGACCGCTTCTGCCTGACTGGTGGAAAAAGCCCTGTTGGGTATTTGAAGGCATATCTTACTAACTTCTATCTCTCTGCCGATTCTGAAAAAGTGCAAGAAGCAATACAAGAAGGTAAGGTATTAATCTGTCTTATCTCTATAAACTAAACTAAACTCACTGCTGTCAAGCTAGGCCAACTCATAGTAACCCCTCCTTGGGTTTCTGAGGTGGTATCACTACAGAACTAGATTTCCCAACCTTCCTTCTGAGGAGTGGTTGGTGGATTTGAACCACCGGCCTTCTGGTTAGCAGTCAAATACCTTAGGAACTATGCCACCAGAGCTCCCATTTATCTCTATAGTTAATGTAATTTTTTTCTACTAGTTATTTTCATTGGGCTTAACATATGATTGTGTGGCTTATTTCCAGGTAGGCTTTCTGCTAAGGTACTTTCACAAGGAGCAGCCCTTAAGTTTTTACTTTAGAGCTTTGTTCTTCCTGGAAGTAGATATCCTCAGTGATAATCCTATAACCCATTTTACATGTTTCTGTCCCTTATAAAAATGGAGACAGTGTATAGGTAACTGTGAAGGGTGTTCAATCAGATAATAGCTAAAGAGGATGCATAGGGTCTGGGATGATTATTATAGCAATATTATTTTTTAAAAGAGGAAACTAAATTCATGTTCCTGACATGAGGTTAATCAATCTCCATGGCCGGCCAGGGATCGCTTCTGCAACAATGTTTGATGGAGCCAAAGATATGGCTTACTGTGACACACAGCTCCGTGTGGCCTTTGATGGGGACGCTGTCCTATTCTCTGATGAGTCTGAACATATTGCCAAGGAGCATGGGCTGGACAAATTCTTTCAACATGAAACACTATTTGAAAATAAACCTCTTGCTCAGGTAAGTTCAGTGAGCTTTATTGAATTTTGATCTATTACCTTCCAATACATAGGTATTTGTTAATTGTGTGGGCTACTAAAATTATTTTAGGCAGCCAGTCTTTCTCTTGGTCTTGTCTTTTGTCATTTCCTCTCTCTTTCTCTCTCTTTTGTGTGTGTGTTTGAATTTCTTATTTTGAAGCATCTGTTGATGCTTTTTCAAAATATTCATTTATTTTTTTCCTTTCTGAAATGCTTCTATAATTTACCATCATAATGAGTTCACCACCTCCAAATTAAGAGTAACATTTAATACAGCTCCCCAGAAAGCCATTTCTATATATAGATCCTCAAATTATTCAGGTCATTTCGAATAGGTCAGTAAGCATTTGTTGAATCTCTCTGTCCATAACCTCAAGTTCAATAAATAGTTATCACTTAATTGAGAGAATCTGTAAAACTGATAGTTTGAATTGAATCAATTAATTTGCATAAAACAAGTGTAAACTATGAACATTAAATCAAACTGAAACAAAATAATTAAGTTTTTTGGGATCAATTCATGAAGTGAAGTGAGAAAATCCCAGTTTGATATGAACAAAGTCTACAACATCTGAGCCAAAGGAAATTTGAAATATCAAAATATTCTTCCAAGTGAATCTGCACTGATTCAATGTTATTCTGTGACTCTTCTCAAGGAGATTAATCCAAATTGTTCTTTTTCAGTCAGATTTTCTTGAACATTTTTATGTTGTTGTTAGGTGCCATCAAGTTAGCTCCGACTCAGAGTGACCCTGTGTACAACAGAATGAAACACTGCCCTGTCCTGCACCAGCCTCACAAGCCTTGCTATACCCAAGCCCATTATTGCAACCAGTGTGTCAATCCATCTCATTGAGGATCTTTCCTTTTATCATGGACCTTCCACTTTACCAAGCATGATATCTTTCTCCAGGGAATGGTCCCTCTGGACAACATGACCAAAGTAGGTGAGATGAAGTCTGGGCATTCTTGCTTTCAAGGAGCATTCTGGCTGCATTTCTTCCAGGAGACAGATTTTTTTAGTTCATATGGCAGTCCATGGTACCTTAAGTATTCTTCACTGCCACCACAACTCAAAAGGCTCAACTCTTCTTCTGTCTTCCTTATTCATTGTCCAGCTCTCACAATCATAAAAGGCAACTGAAACTACCATGGCTTGGGTTAGGCACATCTTACTCTTCAAGGAGACATCTTTGCTATTGATGAATAGCAATACTTGAAAGAGGTCTTTTGCAGAAGATTAGCCCAATGCAATACATTATCTGATGTCTTGACTGCTGCTTCCATTGGTCTTGATTGTGGATCCAAGTAATATGTAATCTTTGACAATTTAAATCTTTTCTCAACTTATCATGATGCTACTTATTGGTCTGGTTGTGAGGATTTTCATTTTCTTTATGTTGAGGTGTAATCCATACTGAAAACTTTAGTCTTTAATCTTCATCAGTAAGGGCTTCAAGTCATCTTCATTTTCAGCAAGCAAGGTTGTGTCGTCTGCATATTGCAGGTTGTTAACGAGTCTTCCTCCAATACTAATGCCATGTTCTTTATATACTACAGCTTCTCAAATTATTGAACAAATATGGTGAAAGGATACTACAACCCTAAAACCCTTCCTTTCTGATTTTAAACCATGCAGTATCTCCTTGTTGTGCTTGAATGACAGCCCTCTGTTCTATGTACAGGTTCCTCATAAGCACAATTAAGTGTTCTGGAATTCCCATTCCTCTCAGTGTTATCCATAATTTGTTATGATCCACATAGTTGAATGCTTTTGCATAGTCAATAAAACACAAGAAAACATCTTTCTGTTATTCTCTGCTTGCAGCCGAGATCCATCTGACATCTGCAGTAATAACACTCGTTCCACATCCTCTTCTAAGTCCACCTTGCATTTCTGGAAGTTCTCTGTCAATATACTGCTGCAACTGTTTCTGAATTATCTTCAGTAAGATTTTATTTGCTGATATTGTTTGATAATTTCCATATTGTGTGGGATCACCTTTCTTTGGAATGGGTACAAATATGGATCTCTTTCAGTCAGTTGGCCAAATAGCTGTCTTCCAAATCTCTTGGCATAGACAAGTGAGTGCCTCCAGGGTGGCATCTGTCTGTTGAAACACCTCAGTGGGTTTTCTATCACTTCTTGGACCATCTTTTTCACCAATTCCCTAAGTATAGCTTTGACTTCTTCCTTCAGTACCATTGGTTCTTGTTCATAGGCCATTTCCTGAAATAGATGAACATCGACCAATTCTTCTTGGTGCAGTGACTCTGTGTATTCCTTCCATCTTCTTTTGATGTCCTGCATCATTCAATATTTTCCCATAGAATCTTTCAGTACTGAAACTCGAGGCTTAAATTTTTTTTCAGTTCTTTCAGCTTGAGTAATGCAGCATGTTCTTACCTTTGGTTTTCTAACTAACTCCAGGTCTTTACACATTTCATTATAATAATTGATTTTGTCTTCTCGAGCTGCTCTTTGCAATCATCTATTCAGCTCTTTTATCTTGTCATTTCTTCCCTTTCCTTTAGCTGCTTTCCATTCAAGAGCAAACTTCAGAGTTTTTTCTAACATCCATTTTGGTCTTTTCTTCCTTTCCTGTCTTTGTAATGACTTTTTGCTTTCTTCATAGATGATGTTCTTGATGTCATTCCATATTTATTTCTTGAACATAGTTGCCACCAATTTTTCTCTTATATTTAGAAAAGTATGAATAGACTAATGGAAATCTGAAAAAATTTACTACTTTGTTACTTTATGTTATAGCAAGCAATACTTAAACAATAAACCTGTGTGTTTGTGTGTTTAACTTTATATTAGCTTCTTAAATAGGTCCTTTCCACCAATCATATGTTACTTTGTCATACTGTGGTGGCTTGTGTGTTACTGTGATGCTGGTACTATGCCACAGTGTTTCAAATACCATCAGAGTCATCTGGTGGACAGGTTTCAGTGGAGCTTCAAGACAAAAAGCAGAGGCGATCTACTTCTGAAGAAAGCTAGCCACTGAAAACCTTATGAATAGTAGTGAAACATTGTCAGATATAATGTCAGAAGTTGAGCCCCTCAGTTGGAAGGTGCTCAAAATACAACTAGGGAAGAGTTGCCTCCTCAAAGTAGAGGTGGTGACCTTAATGATGTGGATAAGGTAAAACTTCTGAAACTTTCATTTGCTAATATGGCATGACTCAAAATGAGAAGAAACTATTGCAAATACTCATTAATAATTAGAATGTGTAATGTTTGAAGCATGAATCTAGGAAAATTGGAAGTTGTCAAAAATGAAGTGCATAAAGATTGATATCCCAGGCATTAGTGAGCTGAATGGACTGGTATTGGCCAATTTGAAATTGACACTCACATGGTCTGTGAGATGATAAAAGCTACAGGATTCAGGTAATGGGAACAAGACAGGCCCCATCCCCAGAGGCAAGAAAGGGAGGGGAATGCCAGAGATGACTAAGACACAGGATCCAGGTAGGATCCAGGTAAGGTGAGGGTAGAGAGGTTTTGAACAGCTAAGGGAGATGAAACTTGTCTGTCACTTTATCTTACTGTGGTGGTATATGCATTGCTGTGAGACTTGAGGCTGTAGTATAGGTGTTTCAAATGCCAACAGGGTTGCATATGGTGCACAAGTTTCAACACAGCTTACAGACTGAGACAGACTAGGAATAAGGAAGAGCCCATCTACTTCTCAAAGAATTGGCTAGTAAAAACCTTATGAATAGCAGAGAAACACCATCTGATACATTACTGTGCACCTTTATGAACAGCCTGGAAACATTGTCCAATACAGTGCAGGAAGATGAGTCCCTTGGGTCAGAAGGCATGCAAAATATGGCTGGGAAAGAGCTGCCTCATCAGAGTAGAACCAACCTTAATGATATGGATAAAATAAAGCTTTTGGGACTTCCATTTTCTGACATGGAATGACTCAACTTGAGGAGAAACAGTTGCAAACATTCATTAATAATCGGAACATGGAATGTACAAAGTATGAATCTAGGAAAACTGGATGTTTTCAAAAATGAAATGGAATGCATAAAGACTGATATCCTAGGCATTAGTGAGTTAAAGGGACTGGTTTTGGCCATTTTGGATCAGACAACTGTATGATCAACTATGCTAGGAATTACAATTTGAAGAGGAATGGCATGGCATTCATCATCTCAAAGGATGTTTCAAGATCTGTCCTGAAGTACAATACTGTCAGTGATAGGATAATATCCATACGTCTACAAGGAATACCAGTTAATAGGACTATTACTCAAATTTATGCACCAACCACCAAAGCCAAAGATGAGGAAATTGAAGATTTTTATCAGCTTCTACAGTCTGAAATTGATTGGACATGCAATCATGATGTGTTAATTATCACTGGTGACTGGAATGCAAAAGTTGGAAATGAAGAATCACTGTTAGTTGCAAAATTTGGCCTTAGTAACAGAAATAATGCTAGAGATCGCATAACAGAATTTTGCAAGACCAATGACTTATTCATTGAAAATACCTTTTTTCAACAACAGAAATGGTGGCTATACACGTGGACTTTGCCAGAAGGAATACACAGAAATAAGATTGACTATATCTGTGGCAAAAGGCGACATAAAAGCTCAATATCTTTAGCCAAATCAAAGTCAGGAGCTGACTGTGGAACAGACCATCAACTGCTCATATGCAAGTTCAACTTGAAGTTGAAGACAATTAAAACAAGTCCATGAGAGCCAAAACATGACCTTGAATATATCCCTCCTGGATGTAGAGACCATCTAAATAACAAATCTGATGCACTGAAAACCAGTGGCTGAAAACCAGAAGAATTGTGGGATGATATCAAGAACATCATCCATGAAAAAAACAAGAGGTCATTAAAAAGACAAGAAAATAAGAAAAGACCAAATGAATGTCAGAAGAGACTCTGAAACTTGCCCTTGAGTGGAGAAGGGCTAAAGCAAATGGAAGAAATGACAAGA